AACTGGGTGTAGAATGGGAGACCAATATGAAGGAAGTTTGATGTTCATTGTCTGGCGAAGGAATTGATATGAGGTGTTTCCCGTTTAGAACACCCCAACTGAAAGATATGAGGATCGAACGACCACTTCATTGGAAGAATCTGATTGGGATGAAATAATTGATCCACAACCAGATTCACAGCACCAAGAACATGGTCAGATAAGATCGCCATGTGGTGACTGTGAGTTCAGAAAAGATATCCAGAGTTTAAAAACACAGTGACCTGCATTTGATTCCAGCTTGCATGGTGGTACAATTGGCAACCGTGAAATTCTCGGAGTAGATGTTACACCCCCCCCCCCCCACCATACACACAGGAGATGAAGGAAATGGGAAAAAGCCTGAAGAACTGTAATCTGTTGGTATGGATGGCAGACTGCTCGTCAGACCACAGACTAATAAATCTCTCATGAGTCAAGAAAAGCCCCCATACCCTCTAACGATGCATCCCTGGACTAGTATAACTTTGGACAGAAGAAGGGAACTCCTACCATGGTCTGGTTCCTGTCAAGCCACTAAGAGAGGTCAACAGAAGGAAAGGTAGCAGGGTAGTCCAAGAGATCCAAGGAGAAGCTCCTGTGATCGACGAGCATCCAATGAAGTGAATGCATATGAGCTTGACAATGAGAGTTTCCAAGTAGTTTTCACATCCTCAAAAATAGAATCTATTGAGCTGTTACAGAATGTAACGTGAAGGCCATTGTAACTGTTTGCTCCATGTCCCAGAGACGACGAGGAGAAGGCTGGGCCCAACTTAGCTTGTAATTGAAGAAAACCTCTAAACGAATAAGATGTTGAGTGTGGTAAGAATAGACATTAAATCCATCTATGCTGCTTGTGGTCCTATGACTGAGGACTGGAAGAGGCGATCGTCCATGTAATCATAAGTACAATGGACCATAGAGTGAAGTTGTTAGGCAATTGTGCATACTACGTGACAAAACACATAAGGAGCCGATGTTGGTCTAATGGTAGAGCCCTGAACTGGAACACACAACCCGAAATAATACAGTGCTAGTGAAGATAGGGAATATTGAGTGAGAATAGCAGTATAGATGGCTCAATGCTATTGGTGGAGAGTGGTCACATGATACGTACAGGTTCAGATATGGTGCAAAATTTATGGGGTATATAGACTGTTGTGCTGATTACATAAATTATTTGATGGCAGATGAAGATTGAGGAGCAGGAATTGTCATTTGTTATTTGTACCTGTAATTTAATGTGTAAGGTGATACAATGGCAACAAAGTGTTTTTAAAATATTAAAGAAACGTTTGTCTCAAAATGAATAGGAGAACAGTACTTGTTTCTACAAATGAAACATTAAGAAACTTTCTAATTGACCAGGTTTTTTACCTTTTTGGTTCTTCATGTTCAGAGAATGTGCTGTTGTCATTTATTTCTGCAAATGTGATTATCCTGAACAGTAACAGCCTATATAACCCAAATCACCAGTCATTTAATTTAACATACTGAAGTCAGTAATGAAACAGCCTCTAATAATACCTAAACTTCATAAATAATAAATAGATAAACATTTTAGTTTAGTATATATCTTAGCATGTGTAAATATTCATTTAACACATACTGAAAATTTAAACAGGAATTACAAAGTATTCATGTTAATTAACATGTTAAAATAGACAAATCGTTAAAAGATAATCCAGAAAGGCACTGGCTAAAAGTAGTGTTGGTTGGTGCTACACTGTACTATCATATGTGTACAGGCAATTTTAGATGTTATCTACTAAAAAGGTCTCTTGAATATGGTACGTTACCAACAGTTTATGTTTTTAATGCTATTCTGTTCTAGGTAGAAAATGTTTTTATAATTTTTAAACTTAGTTATATCTTTAGTATTTCTGTATTAATATTTGTGTTGATCATGTTTGAACATTAAAGTATATTTAGATGTTCATCAAATTAAGTAATTATGATATATTTATTATTACCTATTTTTGACATCATTTATATTTACTTCAGATAAAGAGACCAGTGTGAACATCTGTAGTGGAAGTCAGTTTCCTGGTTATTTTATAAAACAAGAAAATCACTTTACAGAAGACGTAAAATCCGAAACTAAGAATATTAGTTGGAGAAACAAAATTAAGTGGAAATAACCTAAAAGCATCTGACAAACATCAGTGTGGTGATAAACTATACAGTTGTGGAAAAACATTTGATAATCTAACACAACAAAAGAAGACGTATTCTGGAGAGAAACCATATCATTGTGTAGTTTGTGGAAAACAGTTTGGAGACAAGAGAACTTTAAAAAACCATGAAAGAATACACACTGGGGAGAAACCATACAGTTGCACAGACTGTGGAAAACAATTTGGAACAAACACACATTTAAAAGTACATGAATGAATACACACTGGGGTGAAAACTTACAGTTGTACAGTGTGTGGAAAACAGTTTGGAACAAACACACATTTAAAAAACATGAAAGAATACACACTGGGGAGAAACCTTACAGTTGTACAGTATGTGGAAATCAGTTTGGAAAAAACAGTGAACTAAAAATACATGAAAGAAAACACACTGGGGAGAAACCTTACAGTTGTACAGTGTGTGAAAAACAGTTTAGAGAAAAGTATTATTTAAAAATTCATGAAAGAATACATAGTGAGGAGAAACCTTACAGTTGTAAAGTTTGTGGAAAACAGTTTAGATGGAAGAGTCGATTAAATATACATGAAAGAATACACACTGGGGAGAAACCTTATAGTTGTACAGTGTGTGAAAAACAGTTTGGAAAAAACAGTGAATTAAAAATACATGAAAGAAAACACACTGGGGAGAAACCTTATAGTTGTAAAGTGTGTGGAAAACAGTTTGGAAATAAGTATTATTTAAAAATTCATGAAAGAGTACATAGTGAGGAGAAACCTTACAGTTGTAAAGTGTGTGGAAAACAGTTTAGATGGAAGAGTCAATTAAAACTACATGATAGAATACACACTGGAGAGAAACCTTATAGTTGTACAGTGTGTGAAAAACAGTTTGGAAAAAACAGTGAATTAAAA